TGTGTGTGTGTGTGTGTGTGTGTGTGTGTGTGTGTGTGTGTGTGTGTGTGTGTGTGTGTGTGTGTGTGTGTGTGTGTGTGTGTAGAGAGAGAGGTCTTTCAAGGTCAGCACACTTTTGTGACCACTGTTAGATTCAAGGTCTTTTCCAGCCTAATTGATTCTCTTTGATTCTGTCTCTGTGATCATGTAAAGTTGGCCTCTTCAAGAGGACCTGTAAAGTAAAGATCAAGTACAGCTCATTAGATCATTAAGGTTCATTTATTCTGCTTGAATACAAAGAAGCATCTCTTAGCAGCAACTGCCCCCCCCCCCTTTGAGAACTCCATCCACAAGGACTACATCACTGAAAAACTGTACAGTGCACCTAAATATACTAAATATACTGTACACTGATTACCTACAGCTTCCAGGCAAGAATGAGTTCACTGAAAGAACAATTTTTTTATTATACAAGAAAGATAAAGCAAATCTCAAAGCAAAGGAGGCCTATTTTGGGGCAGAGCACACATGCCTGGCTTCTGATTACTTGCTTGGGCACAAGAAGTACAAGGCAAGTGTTACTGAGCTAGGGAGTTCTTTGAAGGGCTGTGTGGTTCTTATTATGTTATTGAATGCAGCACTTTAAGATTTTTGTGCTTTGGTTAACACAAAGATAAATAAATTGCTGCTCAGTTCAGTGGCCCAATGAAAAATTCAACTCGTGTGGTTTTTTTTTTAAATGTTTTTGTTCTATAATTATTTGGCATGAATGTATGATTATATACATTTTACTGAACATCAGCTAATAAAAATCATGATGCAAGATTGTATTTGTATTTAACTCATTTTTGAAGTGGTGCACAGCAGAAACTGGAAAAGTGTTGGCTGGAGAAGGAGGCTGGGATAAAAGTGAAAATATTTATGTATTATTCAAATGAGCCATTATATAATAAAAACAGTCTCATCTGTGGTAGTGATGAAGTCATCCATGCACTGTTTACTCAACTCAAATTTGAAAGTAGTTCAATAGGGTCACCTATGGTCAGTAGGTATTTTTGGAATCAGGTATAACTGCAGTTTATTCCCATATTTTTGTAAGTTTGCACTGCTAATCAAACTGTTACCTATCTTCACTTATGCACACTGAGACAGATGGTCATTGTGTAGGTGTAGATGTTAGAACCCTGTTTATGTCTGACAGAAGATGTGACTGTGAGAGGAAGGTTGCCATTTAATATTACTATGAATAATT